TATATGGATTGGTCGTTTTGAGCGGCTGCCCTAATGCGGAACTTCTACATTCTCTCGAAGTACTTCACCCTACGGCAGCCAGAATAATTTACAACTTGCCTACTGCAAGGAAGTATACCGACATTCGAGTTGGAATACATGTACTATAACCTTCTATCATAAACTTCGATTAATTAAACTACTCCATATAGCGTGTTTTTAGGTGAAGCACCTGCGGCTCTTTCATACTCGACGAATAAACCTTGTACTGCGTACAACTTCAGAAGGAGCAATAACATATTAATCGTCCCTCGTTTTAACCCGCGGTTTCTTAAAACCTCTAGAGGCGCTATTCTTTGGAACCCTGTCTCGACTCGTTTTACAGACCAGTTTATTGTATTTTTTTTTTCGCAAGGTGAAGAAGGCCGCTTATTTTAAGGAACTAGAACCTTAATTTATATTTTTAGTGTTTTTATTGTAGCTGTATTTTGTAAGTAATGTTATCCCTATTTTAACATAGTTCTATATTCATTTGTAATTATTTTTACACGACTCCACAAGCTTTGAGCTTTAAATCCTATCGTGTTTAAATAAAGGATATGTATGTATGTATGTATGTTGTATGTATGTATGTATGTATGTATGTATGTACTGCAGACACTGCATGACTTAAGAAACATTTTACAATTTCGCTCTCAAAGTGAATGATGGAGTCTGGGAAGGTTGTTCTAACTGTTGAGTCCGCAGACAAAATCTTTTATGGTGTGACCATTCAAATGAAACCTCAAACTGAAAACTAGGTATACCTATCAATAGAGTGCCAACGAGCAAATCATGCGTATTTTGCATAGGAATGGATTCCTTTTTTCCAACATTTGACAGTTTCTTGGTCCCTGCTTGTTGAAAGGATTATTTCCTTAAAACTGATGTGCTATGCAAGGCGGTATAAACTAGGTTCGGAGAAGAGTCAGTCCTCAGACTACTGTGGTTTTACGAACCTACTACATAAAAGTTTGAAGTGTCATGAGGCATACTTTTTTGAAAGAATAAAAGGAAGCGATCAGTAATATTTGGGGGGGAAATATAAAAAATGATCGTTTCTCATACCACTACAAAATTAGTGTCGGTTCGGTTTCACTTTGTAGATAAATATTTATGCAGTTTAATCATGTAAACCTCCTCTAAAATTTCCCGAGGCTTTTTGTCGAGTTCCCGATTGAATCTGCTTGAAATGTTTTCTAGGACATGCGATGTACGGCACGTCGGTATTTTGTTTTCACTTCGGCCAGGTTTCGAAAAAAATAGTGTTGTTTTCTTTTCCTTCGTCGTTCGCTTTAGGCTTGTAATTCTTTTTTATTCTTATTTTTCCATTTGCAGGTTAGACTTTTTCCCCAATATCAGATTTTCCAACAGAAGCGACTATATATTCTTCGTATCAAGCTTTCCTTATCTCCTCGGGTAATCTGATCCTTTTGCTTGTTTCACATGGAAAATTAAACTGTTGTTGTACAAGCTTCTCTTCGTTAAAACCTTACATTAATGGCGCCCCAAATTAATACAATGCATCAAGTTTTCATTTTCCTTAACTGCCGGGGCCAGATTTTGGTGAATAAACAATAAAAGCGTACCACATTCAAGTTCAGTCTTCGCGTGCCGCGGAGGAAAGAACACATGTGTGCCAAGTATAGTTTACCGCCTTTTGATTGGCTGAAACTGTCACACCACTTGGTCTCAGGGGAATCTACATTACATGAGGTTACACTTTTTGAAGCTCTGAGAAACGACTGAATCCGAGGCTACTTCTTCAAGATGGCGTTTGCAACTTAAGTTAATAAGCAATTTCTTGATGCTGACCATTGTTCAATTTTGAGTGCACCTTATAACACGTTCATTATCAGAAGTTAAAGTATTCTGCCGAGTAATTCTTAAAAGTTCATTTTTCAGATACAAATGGCTGTCCAAGTTACGCAGGGGATATATACGGCTGAGTTTGAATTCAGCCAACTAAGTGCCCATGAATTTTGAAGTTAATTTGCAATGCGTCTGCTGATACCTAATATCGCAGACTGAGTGGTGTTTTGTTTAGT